AACTTGTAGATAGCTCAATATGATTTTGCTTTGAAATAAAACTTAAGCATAAATACCCAGAAAAATTAATGAACAAAGTAGCAGACTAAAATATTTACAATAAGAAGGATATATTTGATCATTAATCCTGCTACAAAACATAGATTTTTTTTGTAGCATCAGGCAAAGATTCTTAATGTGAGAAATTTAATCTACAGTAACGACCAGCCACTCAGTTCACACAATTGTACAGTCATTTTATTTAGGGAAACATATGTGTGGATACAAAATAGATAAATAAATGTGTTTAGAAACCTGGAAAATAATTATCCAAACAAACCTATTTTATTATTCTAATGATTCAAAATGAATGGCGTCAAAGATACAACATATGCTCATGTACATCCAGCCACATCGTCGACCACTATTTATTCACCTTGCAACTAATGTTCATATCAACAAAATGGTTCATATTTTCAGTTTCAGATGAAGGATATGGAAGAGAAAATGATGCATGTAACAAGCCTTTAGACGTTTCCGAAAACACAAAACTATATGCAAGGTTTTTGAGTCGCCGACTAATCGCCAAGTTGTTGGAGCGAGGTTGGCTTGCGCAGGCGACTTGGCTTGAGGAGCGAGTCGCGCGACTGGTAGGCTAGTCGACGATTAGTCGACGACTAGTCGGGTGACTAGGACCTCATAGCAGGGCGGCTTGCTTCAGCAAGGCCAAGGGAGGGAAGACTGGGAAGGTGAGGAGGCCAGAGTTCGAGGGAGGGGAGGAGGAGACGAAGCTGGAGAGTGCGCCGCCTGTACGAGGAGAAGCACGGAAGAGACGAAGGAGAAAGGCACATGGGAGCAGATGCACGGTTCAGATTAGAGCATATGGACGGTTGGGATTTTTATCTGGAAGCTAGGGTTACATAATGGGCCTATTGGGCCAGCTCTCTAGCACGAAACAGAGGAGGAGCAAGACACGTGCTCCCATCCCACATCAGAATCGCCGCCTCCATTGCTCCTACGAGCTGCTGCTGCCTTCTCCGAGCTGAATTATACTCCAAGCAGCTGCCTTCCCCCTCCTCCGCCTGCAACAACACCTCTTCCCCCCTCCTCCTCCTCCTCTTCCCCCTCCTCCTCCTCCTCTTAACACCTGGGGCGACTTGGGGCGATTAATCACGACGAGTCGCAGACTAATCGCAGCGAGCCACTAGTCGGAGGCATGGCGACTCGACTTGGCTAGGCGACTCAAAAACCTTGACTATATGTACAATACTTCTTTGTATATAGCTATGACTGAAAAATTAAATGGTCAATGAGAGGGCAAACAAATCACAGGATTTTCTTTTGCATATCATGTCAGTTAGAAATAAACAAAGAATTATAATCAGAAGAAATAAAGAAAGCGCAAAAATTCTCAAGAGCATATGACTACAAAACAATCTAATCCACTTCCACTAAACTTTTTTTTGGTGCATTTCCTCATCAAAAATTGGCTTTACTAAACGTTGGTGCCACCTAACTACCATGTCCATTGAAGGCCCAACTTCAACCAGCTCCATTCTAGGAATATATGGATTTTGTAGTTCTCAACTCCTGCTTTATAAGATCATATATGTGGTAATCATAAGCCCATCCAAAAGATTGTTGAGCCTCTTCTTTGAATGAGAGGCATACACTCCTACTGCAAACACCATTATAACAAAAGAATATGACATCTTTCAGCAGTTATAGCAGACAATAATATTCGCTGGTTAATATACAAAGGAAAATGAAACGATCATTGTAACAGGCACGCAGAAGGCTTCAGATAGGACCTATATTGTGCTACTCAAAGTCAATATCTAGCTCAAAAAGTCAATGCCGAGCTCAGAAAGTCATTTCATTTTTGAGAGCCTCACCGATTTAATCTTTATTTTCTCAAGTGAATAATAATTCCTCATTGTCACTAAGAATGCAATAAGATTTAGGGAGAACTCCAGGGACACCCCTTCTCTCAAATGGCCTGATGTTGTTGCTATTCATGGTGTAATTCACAGAATACTTCAAGGCAAAAAAGTTCTGTCATCACGAAGTTCAAACTGTACATTATTGCCATGCTCAACCTGGAACAAACATTAGAGCACTGGTCTAATGTGGGAGCCTGGGAAAAACACATATGTACTATTTCTAGTTGCTCCACATATATGGTTCGAAAGAAACAATCTTTTCCAATATCAACTAAATTAAGATTTACATGTGGTTATTTGTACAAACCATGGACTACTTTAAGAAGCAGCGCAGACAAAAATTGCAGTTCAGTCTCTATTAGAAAGGCAAGGTAAGCGTGCAGACCTCATGCCGAGACGAGCTGATGTTGTTGGCAGCGAGGAAGGCTCGGCGTCCTCTGACTATGGATGCACGCCGACCAGAATCATGTAGCCACGGCTCCGACCAGAATCACCGTGTCTGTCCCGGATTAGAGAGAGGGAACAACAAATTACAAGCATGGTTTTGGTACGGATTCACAGAAGACCCTAATCAAACATCACGACAGCATACTATTTGGAATTCAGAAATCCATTCAAGTCATGCACCCCAAAGGATGATCCATCAGTATATAGGATAAATCACCCAAGAATGATTACCAACTCAAGCATCATGTTCTAGAAAAAATATTCAGGCACACCATGGTTTCCAATTCAGAAGATGAAGCACAGCAAACAGGCTATTAAGCCCAATTCTAAAAATCAAACATACCTCTATTGAATCTCAGGCTAGCGTAATCCATAGCTTTGCCTGGCAAGCCCGCCGGCCGGTCGCCGGAGCTGCCACCGCTAGCGACCGCCTCCCTGACTCTGCGCCCCCTGCTCCTTCTCCTTTATTCCTTTCTCCCTCATGCCCTGTCTCTCTTTCTATGGATGAGCAGGACGCCGTCGCCACCGGAGCAAGCCACCGCACCAGCAGCCAGATCGGTCGCTGCCGCCCCCGGATCCGCCCGTATTACTCGCGCCGGCGCCGTGGCCTCGCTTCACCCACCGGCCGCCTGCCCGTTCCGACGAACTCCAGCGCCGCCAACCTTTTCCCCTGCGTCGAGGAGTTGCTCGAACCGCTGCCGTCCGTTGCGTGGCCCGGCAGCCCAGCCAGATCGGCAGCTCGCCCGCGTGGGCTGCGCGGATGGACGGACAGGAAGACCATCCGCAGGTGGCGGCGGTGGCGTCCGTACCCCGGCTCTCCTTCGATGCATACGTGCCCGTGTGTCATGTGTTTTTTTCCAACCCTTGCGTTAGGCCGAATAAAAGTAAGGCCCAAGCCCAGAAACGAGCGAAATGTTTTCTCACTTTAAAAGGACCGCGCGTTTAATACATGAAACTACAGGGTTTTTTATCGAAACCTTACTCAACAAAACGTTTTCTGACTTAAAAATGGACCACGGGTTGAATAACTAAAACATCAGAGACTTTTTTGCAAAAATACCAACTACGTACGACCAGAGGCAACATCTAGTTTATTATTAAAAATTAAACTAGTAAAAAATCCCGTGCATTGCAACGGGAGAGAAAACATAACACACGCTCTTAACTCAACAACCATCACTCAAGACCACAATAGGTCCGTCTCCTTTATTTTTGCGAGGTATCATATTTATGTTGCCGCTTATCCCCCTTCTCACCCTCGTCGGCGATGGCATCGGTGTTAACACAAAACAACAAAAAACGTGTGTTGAATATGGTTAATCCTAACACATCTCTCTCTCCCTCTCTCCTCCCCCCTCTCTCGCTTTCTCTCACTCTCGTTTTCTCTCACTCTCGCAATGAGAAATCTGTTGTTTTTCCCTACAACATTTTTCAGAGGTATGCATGTGTAGTTATCGATATTTTTCTTTTCCCTATATGATTATAGTGGGGTGTTTATTTGCAATCCGGATCGCCGCCGGTATGAAAAAATGATCTTGCGCTATAAATTATAAGTTTGCTTCCATAACAATATTTTAAAAATATTTAACAGGTAAAATTAACATCATACTTAGATTCCACACATTTTTCTAATAAAATTTCATATATAATATGTTAAAATCGAAGTTACGGTTTAAAAGATACAAATAATTTAGAAAATCATTTGGTATGAGTCAAATATATTCTAAAATAATATTTAAAAATACTTAACAGGTAAAAATAATCTCATATTCATATTCTACATATTTTTTAATCAAATTTCATATATAATATATTCAAATCGGAGTTACGGTTTATAAGATATGGATGATTTTAAAAAGCATTTGTTTGACTTAAATATGATCCGCGGATGAATTACCTAAAATATCAGGGGGGGTTTCAAAAAATGTAAAATAACGGTTCGGGTGTGACTTAAATCAGATGGCGGGTTGATTTCAAAAAAAGACGAAGACTTTTGTGTAAAATACAAAAATAACGATTCGTTTTCACTTAAAACAGGACTGCGGGTTGAATTCTCTAAAATAGAAGGACTTTTCTAAAAAATACCACGACGGACGAAAAAACCAGTTTGCTTTATTATTATATAGGTAAAGATAAAGATTAGGGAAAGATTCATAAATAAAGTTCTAGTATCTATTTTTATTTTTATTTTGAGTGCATAAAAACAATCAGATGGCCCATCGCCGGCCCAGCCCGGCTAGCAATTTCCTCGTCTACCTTGTCCACACCACACCACCAATCTCCGTGTCGCTGTCGCCGTTCTGTTCTTTCTTTCTCTTGTTCGTGTCTTTAAAGCCCGACTCGCCTCTCTCTCTCCGTCTCTGCCTCCTCTCCGAACCACCACCGCGCCCAGACGGCAGGCCCTCACCGTACTCTACTCCCGGCGGCGTGCAGCTGCTCTCTGCTGGTCGCGCGCTCGGCTCCCGCAACCGCCGCTCAATCCCGAAGCGGCTCTTCCCGTGGGACCTGCAGATTCTGTTGTTTGTCTGGCCGGCGTCGTCCGTTTCCCGGGCGCGACAAGAGAATCGGAGGGCCCGCGTGCTCGGAGCTACGAAGGCTTCGCCACGAGCGCCGCGGCGGAGCCTCGCCTGCATGGAGATTAAGGTTTTCCTCGCTTCCCTGCTCCCTCCTCCAATCTTTACATTTCTTCTCCGCTTAGGATGAAGCCGTTGCTGTTTGGTGGCGCGTCTTGCGTCCTCGTTGCGGTGCCGTGCTTCGGCCGCGGGCGCTTCCCTTCCGTGATCGCAAAGATTTTTAGGTTTGCTTAGCGTGTGTCCGTGCGGACGCGCCTCGTTGGAGAGCCTGGATTTCAGGATTTGGTTAGCGCGGCCCGGGGTTCTCCGCTTCGCTGCTCCATGCCGGGGAGGCCCGTGGCTTTGCTCCCGGCCTTGTGCGGGAGGTTCCCCACGAGTTTGATGGGGTGGCTGGCAGTGTATGTTGGTACTGGGCATGAGATTTGAAGAACGCAAGTGTCGGGGTCTTGGAAGTACGGATTCGCTCGCCATGGTGGCCCAGATTTGGGTGCTGTAAGCCTGTGGCGAGCGATTGAGAGTTACACACCGCCTAGGTTGACGGTAGGTTGTTGTCATTGTTCCCTGCTTGACGCCCGATAAGTAATTGGCAGTGCTACTTATATTGGGTGGTTCAATCTGCGACGACTGCAGTTTTAGTTGGAGAGATTGTTTCTGTATTCACTGAATCAATAGAGTTACAATGTGTATACATATACCCCGCAGGGAGAGAGCAAGTGCTCCTGGAAAAGTGGCACACATGCCATGAGCGTTGCTAGATCCTAATATCTAGGAGAAGACTCAGTTTACAGACTTAACGTTACACACATACAAGTGACCGTTTAACACACACCCCCCCCCCACCCCCCTCAGCCGGAACTCCGTTGGGTAGGACGTTCAGGCTGGCACGGAACTCGTGAAACACTTGAGAGCCACACGATCCCGGACGAAATGGAGATCAATCTCAATGTGCTTCGTTCGTTGATGTTGAACTGGGTTGGAGGCGAGGTAGGTGGCGCTGACATTATCACAATAGACCACGGTTGCTCTTGTGGGGGGACACTTGAGATCATGCAAGAGTTGTCGTAGCCAGCAGGACTCAGCAACACAATTTGCGACACCCCTGTACTCAGCTTCGGCACTGGATCTTGAGACAGTGGGTTGGCGCTTCGAAGACCAAGAAATGATGTCGTTGCCAAGAAAAACGCAGAAACCAGAGGTGGACTTGCGAGTATCAGGGCACCCGGCCCAATCAGCGTCTGTATAGGCAATGAGATCATGTGCGGGTGACTTGTAGAGCTGAATACCGTAATGAGAGGTGCCTTGGAGATACCGCAGGATGCGTTTCACTAACTGCATATGAGTGTCGCGTGGCTCATGCATGAACAGGCAAACCTGTTGAACGGCATAGGAGATGTCTGGGCGAGTGAGGGTGAGGTATTGCAGTGCACCGGCCAAGCTGCGGTAGTATGTGGGGTTGGAAAGCGGTGTACCATCGTGGATGGATAATTTGGAGGAGGTGTCAACAGGTGTGGACACAGGTTTGCAATGTAGCATGTTGGCATGGTGAAGGACCTCAAGTGTATACTGTTGTTGGCAGAGGAACAAACCGGAGGAATTGGGAGTAACATTGATGCCAAGGAAATGATGTAACTCACCAAGGTCCGACATGGAGAATTCCTTCTTGAGAGAGGCGATGATGGAGTGAAGGGTGGCGGCAGTGTTGGCGGTGAGGATGATATCATCCACATAAACCAGAAGGTATGCAATGGTGTGTCCATGGTGGCGGATGAATAACGACGAGTCACTCTTGGAAGCACAAAACCCAATAGACAACAAGAATGCCTTGAACCGAAGAAACCACGTCCGAGGGGCTTGTTTCAAGCCATAGAGAGACTTGTTGAGGAGGCACACATGATCCGGGTGAGAAGAATCAACAAAACCAGCCGGTTGGGAGCAGTAGACAGTCTCCTTGAGATCACCATGTAGAAATGCATTTTTGACGTCCAGTTGGTGAATTGGCCACGAGTGAGAGGTGGCAAGACTGAGTACCACACGGATAGTGGCCGGTTTGACGACCGGACTGAATGTCTCATCATAGTCCACGCCCTCTTGCTGAGTGAACCCCCGGACGACCCACCGAGCTTTGTAACGAGCCAAAGATCCATCCGTGTGAAACTTATGGCGAAAAATCCACTTCCCTGTAACAATGTTGACACCTGCAGGCTTAGGCACCAAAGACCAAGTGAAGTTATTAATTAAAGCATGATACTCTTCTTGCATAGCTTGGCGCCAATTTGGGTCCTTGAGGGCTGATTTGTACGTTGGAGGGATAGGAGAGAGTGGTGTGGTAGATGCATCAGCAAGAAAGAGGCGGCGAGGCATGCAGTAGCCGCGTTTGGCCCGGGTTGTCATCGTATGGGAATTACTTGGGGGCTGAGCTGGTTGTGCATGGTGTGGTAGTCGTGGCGGAGGGGGAGTGGTTGTGCATGCCTCAGATCCCGAGGAAGATGCGATGGGGCAGCCGACAGGCGTGGGCGACGAGGCGGCAGGTGAGGCAGAGCCGACAGGCACGGGGGGCGAGGTGGATGCGGCGTGGGTGGTTGGTGGGGAGGGGG